AGAAGTCGCACGTTGATCTGCCAGCCGCGGGTCTTTCATGTGGAGAACTGCTCAGATTTTTTTGTATAACGATGCATTTAAAAGTTAATAGTCAAACTGATCTTTATAAAAGTTCACATTGTTGTTACAGATGAAATATAAAATAGATAACATTAAATAGATATTTTTTACCAGCTTAAATGTTGATAATTAGTAACTCAAGCCCCTTTATCTAAACCCTGTCGCGCACATCCGCCATGTTTGTAGTTTTTTTTTTAACACTTTTTATTCATGTTTGTAGCTCTGAACAATACTTCACCAATGGATTGTGGGTAATATTAACCATTAGAGTGCACAGAGTGTTTTGGCGTACTCTTTTCAACATACTATGCTTTGGGACACACTTATTCTAATCTCACATACTATTTAGGATGGATAGTATGAACATTGGGACGCAGCGATACAATTGTAGAGAGCGACTTGTTCTGCCCACTGTGTGTTGATAGGATGTGTGTGACGTCTGTAAAGCGTGTCACCTGTACAGCCTGTCTGAATCCGGAGCGCAGCAGAGGAAGGAATATTCCAGAAACAGCCACGTGATCTCCAGGCTGCGCCACACGCGTGTTCTCTCCGCGGGCGTAAATGGTCATGCTGCGAGGAATGTTTCCCACCGGCACCTGATCGCTCTGAGCGCACACACACACACACACACACAACACAATCAACACTCTGCATGATCTACACTCAGCCAGACAGACGTGACGCTCTCACACACTCACATGCTCCTGAATGCGCAGCTCCTGGAACTTGATGAACTTTGACCCGCGTGTCTGCAGGTACAGCCGTCCTCCAGACTTGTTGGTGACGCACTCCTGACTGGGACACATGATGAGCGGCGTGAAGCTCGGAGACGCGATCTGAGCAGCGGCAGGGACAGGACTCGTGTTAGCACACACACACACACACACACACGTGAGCGTTTAAAGACACGCATGCACTAATGAGCTGCGCACCGGCTGGTAGGTCTCGGCTCCGCACTGATCGCAGGTGTACGTGGCCACAGTCATCATGGGTTTGACCTCCGTGGCTCTGGTGACGATTCCCCTGACGGTCACCAGCTGACCGATGCTGTCGGCCTTCACATCACGCACCACCTTGGGCTTCAGCGTGGACGGAGGACGGAAATAAACCTCACTGAGAAACACAAAACACATGATTCACGCAGTTATATACTACAAAACCATCAAGTGAGTGTGTACAGTATGACAGACAGGAACACGATAACGGCTGTCACACACTGAATTCACCTGGACATGAGCGTGTATGTGACTATCAATTCAATAATCATTCTGATGATCAATAAATGAATCCCAAGATTGATCTTGTAGTCCGTTTTCATTTGAACAAAACGTTACTAAGCATTATTTGTAGTGCGCCTGCCATCCAATAATCATTTGTTTTGTTCCTTTTATGCACTAATACATGCATTTATTACATATTCCTTATATTTTTACTTATGTCGTCATTATTCAATTATATTTAAATAAATCATGAAACAAACTGTACACCACCATTTCAATGTTTATTTCAAAACTGAATAAAATCAAAATCAATAAATTTAAAAATGGCTTTATGATCAATTTAAATGTTTAATAAAGTCACATTTATTTAATCAAATATGAGACAAATTTAAATTTAGTGACAGTTGATCTAATATCTAAAGATAAAAGACAATCTTTATCTGAATATAGTTCATATAATCTTTAATATTTTAGCAATACGTTTAATACTATAGAAAACTGTAGTTTACAGCATTGAGATCTTTTTCCTTAAGAACAATTGATATACCACCTAATATATATCGAAATGAATCAAATCAAACTAAGAGCTAGTGAATCAAACCAGCCCCAGTGTGTGTGTATTATACAGTGTATTGTTTACTGCATTGAGAGGTTTTTTACTTAAAAACTGGCATATCACCTAATACATATCCAAATGAATCTAAATGAAAACCGAATCGAGCCAGCCCCAGTATGTGTGTGTCACTCACAATCTGCGCATGAGTTCAGACGGATACTGGTTCCGGGGGTCATGCGTGTCTGCGGGGTCACGACCTCTGGTCTCCATCATCAGCCGGTGCTCGATATAAACGTCCAAGGCATCCTTCGCCACCACCTACGAAACACACACACACACGGCTCAGACACGAATATATCGATCAGCAGGCAATGTTAGTGATATACAGTGAATTTCAGCTGTGTGAATGTTTATCGCTTCATGTGAGCCTCCTTTGTGTAGGCAGGCAAATAAAGTTAGACATTTAAAGCTAATTACATATTCAACTATATATGAAGAGCTGCGTGATAACGGCTTACATTTAGCGACAATCACAGTTTGATTTGGTATAGAGCATATCTCACGTTATGTGAACGTATGTGGATAAAGCTGAATACACTTATTGCAGTTTAAAGTCATTATAGACCTGTTATAGTTTCATTCTGCACATCATAAGCCGTTGGCGTATTTATTTTCTGACGTTCATATCGATCTATAAAGCGATCCAGCGGTCACCTCTCGCTCTCGGTACTCCGGCAGCAGCTCGTGAACCGCATCCGCGACCAGTCCGGCGTAACGCTTGCTGTTCTCACACATGCTCTCCACCAGCTCAGGGTCTTTGAGTTTATCTGTCTGTCCCTAACTCTGATACTCCGATGCATACAGTTTTGCGTCTTGTTTTTATGAATTTTGGAAACATGGTTCTGTACACATGAATAATGTGAAAGCAGCAGAAGTGCAGATGCACACACTCACGTGCTGAGATGAGACTGGATGCTCTGAGAGAACGGACTCGACTGCTGTCTGCTGTGAATCACACTCTTCCTCAGGACGGACCTGCAGACAGACGTGAACGAGTGTGTGTGTGTGTGTGTGTGTGTGAGAATGTCTCTGTGCCTGTGTGTGTGTGTGAGTGAGTCTCTGTGCCTGTGTGTGTGTGTGAGTGAGTCTCTGTGCCTG